AAATGTTGTGATTACAAATCATGAAAATATTTTTTACATTGATTGTGGCATTATCACCTTGTTCTTCTGGATATTATTCATTCTGTCAATAAAAATCCCATGTTCAAAGTCAACCAGGATATCTTCTGACTAAGTGTAAATACTTGTCACCTTGATTTATGAGAACACATCGCATGCCAAGTTTTTATTTGCTGATCTTCACAAACTAGGCAGAACACTGAGATTCGGGGAGAGAGAAAGACATGCATCGAGTTTGAGCCGGGATGGAATTATCCTCAGTTAAACAGAAAGAGACTCCCGTTGAATTAAAAGCAAGAGAATGGAGGAAACATCATAGGCAGGGGGTTGAAAGGTGAGCACAGGCTTTGATAGTCCGACTTCTGCTTCTGTTGTAATACTTTTCATCCTTTCAAAGAATCCTTTCAAAGTTGCAGGAAACATTCTAAAGTTTGGGTCAGCTTGAGTTGCTTGACAATGTTGATGGTATGATAAGGAATAAAAAACTTATATTTACCCAGTAAGTAAACAATTTTATGCATAAGAAGTCTTCATAAAATCCATTCACAACCCATTTGATTTCATGATTTCCCATTTGAATGTAGATTTCAGTCACTGGGATCTGCATGGAACATCCATGAACATCATGAATTAAATAAAGCCTGACTTGAATGTGAGTTTGCCATCGACATTCACTTTTGCAGAGGCTGTTTGACCTGGATGTGGAGGATAAATGATTGCCGTCAGGATTTTATTCAGACCTACAAAATTGTAGCATCAGGTTGAGTTGAATTAATTTTTCTCAGCAATTCATTTTTACAGTGTATTTGGCTATTGTTTAACAATAAACCAATATCATTTGTTAAAACATGAATAACTTCAAATGAATTGACCTGTTTTTTGTATATTCCTAAACTCAACAAAATTAAGCCTTTTTTAAAGATTTACTCAATTTGATACATAGTAAAATTCCATCAAATTGAATTGAATAATCATTACACTCTAAAAAAAATGCTGGGTTGTGTCAACCCAAATTTGGGTCAAATACGGACAAACCCAAATGTTGGGTTAAAAGTGTAATTAAAAACAAATTTTTTATTACATTTTTAACCCAACGTTTGGGTTTGTCCATATTTGACCCAAATTTGGGTTGAAACAACCCAGCATTTTTTAGAGTGTGTGTTGAATAATGATTGTTCAATTAGCCTATTTAGTCATTGAGCAGACGCTTTCATCCAAAGCGACTTACAACTGAGGACTAAACCAAGCGAGTCATCTTGAAGAGCCAAAAACAACGCGAGAAGGGCTCAAAATACAAAGTTCAGACATTGCTCAGAGTAGAATAAGCCAGCGAGGATTTAAAGGAAAAGGAACTTTTTTTAATTGTTTTTTTTTCATGTGAAGTGCTCACGGAAGAGATGAGTTTTCAGTTGTCTTCATTCCGGATGAGGGCAGATCATTCCACCAGCATGCTACCGTGAATGAGATGTTCTGGAGAGTGAATTTGAGGCTCTCTGTGATAGGCCTACCACACGCCTTCGCACATTGTCCGATCGTAGGCTTCTGGTAGGGATGTAGACTTATAGTAGGGATGTAGACTTATTCAATTAATAGGATCATTCAATTCAATTTGAGGCTTAACACTTTTTTTGAGAGTACAATGTGTTTCAGTGTCCACTTGAGCATAAACAGAAACAATATAGGCCTAGACTTTTTTGAAAAATTGAAAAAACGCTTGCTTCTCAACGGGAGTAAAGTTTCAATAGTGTCTGCTGAGTTTTGATTAGTTTAGAGCAGTGGTTCTCAAAGTGGGGTCCGCGAGCTAAAGCCAGGGGGTCCGCGAAATAATTTACAACCTAACGTTTTTTTCCATGCTATGAGTCATGTTTTCGTTATCATCTGAAAACATGCTGTTTATTCCTAAGTAACTTATATAAAGCATTTAACATAAAACAATACAAAGTAGACACTTAAAGTTTTCTATAGATAGATAATCTATGTCTTTGCGTCAAGTAGACTATTCGCTGCTGTTGATTTTGCGGGACGTGCGCCAGAAAGGAGACAGAGAGACGGCATGAAACCGCATCCGGTTCTTTTCTGTATTTTTAAAAGGCATGACATTTTGTAGTCATTTATAATGTAGCCTATACACAAATAAAAAAAATGGACACTTTACCGTTTCGGATGATACACTCTTGTCTTATCTATGACCATAAATAAGAGTATTCCTGTTTCCACTGCTGAGGAAAAATTCCCATATAATTGCGCGCCGGCGTCTCGCGTGCGCGCACAATAGTCAGTTCTAGCACTGCTACTGTAGATTTGACATTAGAAGTCTGATCATTATCAAAATAAAAGTGCATAGTGACAGGGCCGTACCCACAACTGAGGTTGCAAGGATGCACATCGCGATGATACTGACCTTCTCGTCTGAGGTGCTTCAGCAGACTAACGATAGCTCGTCAATGTCAAAATGTTTGAGTCGGAGTGAACTCAAAGTTCCCCGCACGACGTTTCAGTCAACGGTCATAAAGTGCGAGATAAGATGTAGGCCTTAATTAACATAAACTAAACAGCTGTTTTAGATAAAAGTTTTAAAAAACGACTGAAACAATCAGCTTGCAAAGTATTAATCAAGCTCAACTTTAACAAAGGAAAAAGCAGGTCAATAGAAACATACTGTGCCCATGAGATTAACATTATGGATTCATATATTTAACATATACTGTATGTTTTTTTTTTAGCTAATTACAGTAGCTCAAATTAACAACGCACGCACCTATTAAACATAATGCCATTATCATTGTATTTATAGGCTTATGGGCTTTATTTGTGTGCAGAATAGGCCTAATTATTGAAACATTTCTCTTTTAAGGCCATTCCTGATTGGAATATGTGATTGTGTTTCGTGACATCTTGACAAAAAAAAAATGTATGCCACTGACTGACATGCTTCTACTAAATCTATAGTTATCCAATTGTGGGGCCTTAAAACACCTTAAAATGCACATGTGTAGATCAAGAACATCAAAAATTCCTAAGTGAGGGATCCTAACTAAGTGATTCCTAGCAAGATCACTTTCGTTACCTCAGTAGGCTGTTTAGAAATTCCTGCATAGTACCCTGGGTGGAGACCATTCATTTTGTGCAAAAATATTTCATTTGCCGCTCACACATTAACTTTGTGCTCAATAACTGTTATAAATATGAGGGGGGTCCTTGGAATTTTTTTTCCCCTGAAAGGGGTCCCTGGCACCAAAATGTTTGAGAACCCCTGGTTTAGAGGAGCATATTAAAATATTTGAAAGAGAAATATAGATTCATTTGGGTCTCTGGGAATCCCAGCTGAACACCAAGCTCAGCACGAGATATTAAAAATGTATTTCAGTCACACTTTCTTATTTCTTTCTCTTTCTAAGGTCACACCCTGAACTTTCTGTTTTCTAATCCTCAATCCACATCTCACTGATTCACTGTTTAGCTTCTCTCCACATGCTGTTACCTGGCCCGGTGCTTTGGCCACTCTTCAGAAGGGCGAGGGCGTGTCAGTCAACACGGTTGCTCGATAATCTTTATCCACTCACCGGCCCGTCACCCGTGCCCGTTCCAGCCCTGCTCAGAGCGAGAAACAGGGGCAGACTGCAGTGGGGGGAAGATTTAATGTGCTCTCCTCCCGATTTCATTACTTGTCCAGACCAACATTATCTCTCTTGACCTTGAACTTTGCCGTTTCCACCGCTGACACCCCCACAATCCTGTGCGCATCGAGCTCATCTTTAAATGACCTGATTCACTGGTTTATGACACACTCACACTCAGTAATCATCTGAAACACGCTCTAGTCATCTTCCCATCAGCTCAATTTAGCCTTCACTGGCTGATGTGTCATATAGCTTATTGACATGGGTTCTCCATAATTTGACATTGTATACATGTTTCTTGACCTGTGTGATGGGACTCTTTCTGGGTCAGCATAGCCTTGGTAGGTTCAGTAAGACTATAATGGGACATAACCGCTGGATTGAATATGAAAAAAAAAAAATGTTTTACAAGCTTAATGGTAGTCCGGGCATGTGCTTGGTAAGATCGTTTACCATCGAATGCCATTGTTGGTTTATCAACAGGAGCCATTGAGTGTTCATCTACTGCCATCTTGTGGTCGGTTTGAAATCATGCACCACATTTTTATACAATGTTGTTATAGGGATAGTTCCCTATAACAACATTACTTACTCGCTACAATTTGTTCCAAACTTATGAGTTTCTTTCTTCTGCTGAACACAAAATTTTAAAGATTGGTAACCAGACAGTGATGATATAGCCGTTGACTAGGAAGAAAAATACCATGGAAGTCATGGATACCACCAACTATCTTACACAAATGATTTGTTGAGCTATTATTGTCAGATGTATTACAATGAAGGAATATGAAAATCAGAATCTGCGGTCTATCATGGAGGAAAACCAACAAACTCGGCACACTGCACATTTGTTGTTTATTTTTAATCTTTGTTCTTGCATATTTTTATATTACTGTCCATTCCATATTTATATTTATATTGTCCATTCCATATTTATACATTTATTTATGTCGACTGTATGGTTTATCGACGTGTAGCACTCCTCGTATGTTGCCTTCTTGCCAATAAAGTTCTTTCTTACTTTTGTAGTGAACGTCTGGACATGTTGTTTGGACATTGGTAGCCCTTGGCAAATGCACATGATAAATAAATCTCTCAGACCAGTGAATAACATTGGGTTGAAGTAGGATTGTTTTAATCTATTTATTCTGTGTTAAATGAGTGCGCAAAAGCTATCATGGAAATCTGAAAATTTCACTCCAGGGAAAAGTTGTAACTTTGATCCAAGGCCATTTAACAAACTTTAATAAATTCCATTAGAGGTCCGTCCTACTAACGAAGCTTGCATTTTCTCCCTTATGAATCTGATCTTTAAGCAGGAAGGTGGTGGTGAACTACGTTTCCCAGAGTGCATCGCGCTGACAGGTTCTTCCTCGCAACAAAAATGGCGGCTCCTTTAACATTCCTGCTAATAGTGGCTGTGACAATAAGAGCCGTTTTATTCCGATCCAGTTTGGCAGAAATAATTTCAGAAAGGGTCGAGGTGGTGTCGCCTTTGAATGCGTGGAAACGAGGTTTGTTCGTGTATATTTCTGTATGGGGAGGCTGTATTACTGGTGATTTGTTCTTGCATGGCAGACTCATTGCTGAGCTGTCAAAAAAGACATGCTTTGATTTGAAGATTTTGACTGCACATCACGTCTCCATGCTGTATTTCTAAGTTAATTGTTGTTAATAACGTCATTGTTTACTGTATTATCTTATCTCAAATGTTCAGGATCAATGGCATATTCAATTTTGGACTCCAGAGCTTGTTGTGGCACCCACCTTAATATCTATTTACACTTGCAGAATGTTTTGTATTGCATTGATTGTTTTGTTTTTTGTGACCATCATCCATGTTATACATAAACAGTGAAAAATATTAATTAATTGGTGTTCATATTGAAGTGATGGGATTTTTGATCTTACATCTGAAAATAGTATTTTTTCTCTTCCCTGCATGTGATTTACTTACTTTATAATAATAAAAAAACATAAGTAAACAAATGTACATTTTAATCGAAATATAATCTAATTGTTTTATTTATTTAATCAAAGTACGATTATTAAAAAAAATTTAAATAAGGTGTATAAATATTCTACTTATTATAATACATACTGTTCTTTTAAACTGTATGTATAATAATTATACAAGCATTTTTGTGTAAAATATTATCAGATATTAGGTATTAGATATTATTAGGACAGTGCTGTTGTTATAAAATATATTTTTAAGGGTCATGCAATGGTCTTCAAATTCTTTGTTTTAGTTGTTAATGCATAATATGAATGATTTGTGGTTTAAACAGTTGTGGAGGGTCTTGCCTTGTTGGATCTTGGGGTCTCGCCTTACTCAGGAGATGTGTTTCATGAAGTAAGTTCTATTTGAATTACACATCAGTATCTATGTGTTTGATCTATTTTCTTAAAACTTTCAATTCTATTGTCAGATGTCAGCTTTTTTTGTTATTATATCTTCCAGACACCCCTTATCATATACCTCTTTCATTTTGTGGTCGACTATGCAGAGCTTGTTTTTATGGTAAGTACCAAGTCCTTATTTTTGTTGTTTGTCTTTTCTTTTTTCTTACGTCATTGGACCGTGCAAAAAAGGCAAGTGGTAGCTGCAATCCCAAATGTGATTTACCATGCAATCTTTAGTGCAATTTTCCAGTTGTTTGTAAATTTCAAACAAAAAGGGGTTTGGAGTAAAAATATGTCATAAGATACAGAATGTGTGTTTGAATGATAGAACTTCTGTGTTTGTGTTTTTGTACACATGTAAACTTACTCGAATAACATTATGTCACCAGATAGCAGATGGAATCACAGCAGTGGCTCTTTATCTCTCAATCCAGACTTATAACAAGAATGTGGTAAGTTATAGCTTGAAATTTGTGTTTAGTTGTTATTATTACATTTTGTATTTTAGGATAGATTAAAATATCTTTCATCTTGGTGTATTTTACAGTTTAGAAAACAGAAATATGCCTTGGAATCGGACCGGTATCCCGCCGACTGTTTGGAGCTCCTCCAATCTCCTAAGGAGATGTTCTACATCCCTCTCAAAGTTGCCATGTTGTAAGTTAAATCGTGACTATGTTATCACCTTTTTCATTTAAAATAAAGCAACAATATGTTTTCAGCCAGAAAACGAAGGCATGCATTTTCATTTAACTAATTGTCTTCCAGTTATCTGTTGAACCCCTTCACCATCCTGTCTTGTGTGGCAAAGTCGACTTGTGGGCTGAACAATGCCATTATTGCGCTCTTCATTCTCTGTACATTAAAAGGTGAGTGTTACCTTAATGCACTTCTTCAAATCTAAACTTCCAGAGAATTGTAACTGTGTTTTGACATTGCGTCTTGATATCATAGAGCCACTTAGCCACTATACAAGCATTGTGTGCATGTTGTGTGTACACTATTGTTCAAAAGTCAGGGATCAGTAAGATTTTTGGGAATTGCGCTCACATGCTAAACCTCTTTAGCAAATCTGGGCCTTTATAATGACAAAACAAAAGAATTCAATTTGAAAAACATGCTCTTCTTTTAAAATTTATATTCATCAAGAAACCTGAAACAACTGTTTTCAACATTAATTAGAAGAAATGTTTCTTGAGCAGCAAATCAGCATATTATTATGATTTCTGAAGTATTGATGCTGAAAATTCAGCTTTGCCAACAGAGTAAGAATAGTTCACAATATTACTGTTTTTATTGTATTTTTAATCAAATAAATCCATCCTAGATGTGCATAAGAGATTTCGATTTAAAACATCTTAGCCGTCCCAGATATTTAATAGGTAGTGGGCAATATGCAAATATGCAAAGAAGTGGTAATGGTTATGACGCATTCTGGAATGACAGAGATCAGCACACAACAATTGGAAACACATTTAGCTTGTGTAATTATTAAAGGGATACTCCACTTTTTTGGAAATAGGCTCATTTTACCACTCCCCCAGAGTTAAACAGTTGGGTTTTACCATTTTCAAATCCATTCAGCCGATTTTCTGATATTTAGAAGACTATCAGTAACCAGACAGTTTCTGGTCTCATTGACTTCCATAGTAAGAAAAAAATATACTATGGAAGTCAATGAGACCAGAAACTGTCTGGTTACTGATATTCTTCTAAATATCAAAAAATCGGCTGAACACATTAAAAAATGGTAAAACTCAACTGTTTAACTCTGGGGGAGTGGTAAAATGAGCCTATTTCCAAAATAAAGTGGAGTATCCCTTTAAGAAATGGACAGCAGATCATAAGTAACTGCTATTTAGAGCATGGCATTATGTCTATAATATAGATGTACAGGTTTACTGTGTATGGTGTTGTTGTCTTTATTTTTGTAGGTAGTGCCTTGTTGAGCGGGATAATGTTGGCCTTGGCCACATATCAATCCATCTATCCTCTGACCCTGTTTGCTCCTGCACTACTGTTCCTCCTGCAGGTGAGAGTTAGAATTCAGACGAGTGCAGAGACCATTTACATGTGCACCTATAATGCGATTTCCAATAATCAGAGTAAGGCCCCATGAAATCAAAATTGAAGTTATCTGTTATCTATAAGCTAGTGTGCTCCAAAACAATAACCAAATCGGATATAGAAGATATATGCATTGTTTTTGACCATCAATATACAGTACTGAATGCCTTTTTTTACTGTTACGACATCATCCGTGTACGTCACAAGCACATGTGCACCTTGGTCTGAGTGGATATAGAAGCGTTTTTAAGTTTTTACATGCGTTTATTGCGATTACAAGCGGCATACGCCACACATTGTACTACGATTATGAGCTTAATTGCATCAATTTGATTGAAGTATTATGTTTACACGAGGTAAAGTTTAATTGTAATATTGTCAAAATCTTTTTTTATCACTGATGACCAAAATGAAACCTCTCTCTGTGTTGTCTCCCTTTCAGAGGTTGTATATCCCAGTGAACCTGAGGAGGAGTAGTTTCTGGTCCTTCACTCTTCAGTATGCGTTCATATATGTGGGCAGTCTGGTGGTGATCACTGGACTCTCCTTCTTTCTCCTGGGCTCCTGGGACTTCATCCCTTCTGTCTACGGATTCATGTCAGTCAGCAGTCGGTTATGTTTCATCAAATACTTCTTCAGATATCTACAGTATGCGTTTGTGTGTGTGTTTTCCACAGATTTTCTGTTCCAGACCTCACTCCAAACATAGGACTCTTCTGGTACTTCTTCGCAGAGATGTTTGAGCACTTTCGTCTCTTTTTCATCTGCGTCTTCCAGATCAATGTCTTTTTTTACACCATCCCGCTTTCCGTCAAACTCAAGTAGGTCCTGCATATGGCTGAACGTGAGCAATACATAAAGCAATGCAGTCCGCTTATGGGTAAAATGTATTCAAACAGGGAGCATCCAGTATTCCTCATCTTCATGCAGATTGCCATCATCTCCATCTTTAAGTCGTACCCCACCGTGGGAGATGTCGCCCTCTACATGGCATTTTTGCCAGCCTGGAGTCACCTCTACCGATGTGAGTCTCTTTTCATTTAAATATGTGAACAGGTTTGAAAAATATGAAATTTGGCCATCTCAAAAGGCGTTGTCCTTTAAAGTCAATTACATCATAAACATAAACCATTTGACTCTTGGTATTGCTAGTCGGATTCATTCTAGAGAGCATTTCATTACAAAAATGTGATTATTATGAGTTATCAGTTAGTCTGGAAATATTTTGAAATATAATAGAAAACAGTTATTTTCGTAAGTTGTAATTATATTTCACAATATCATTGTTTTTACTGTATTTTGTTCAAAAAACAGAGTGAATTTTTTTTTTCAAGAAAAATGTATCTCATAATTCTGAGATAATTAACACGTTAATTCAGAAAAACAGAGCAAAAGCTTTTTTTTCCATGAAAAATTCTTGTAATTCTGAGATTATTAACTCATTAATCCAGAAAAATCAGAGTAGATTTTTTGCAAAACGCTTTCGTAAAAACTAGACTTTATTTAATGTAATTTCTTTTTTTTCTGTGAATTAATCAAATGTGGAGTCTACATTTTATTTAATACTGTGTCATATATTTAGCACTTTCACATTTTCTGCAACGAATTTGAATTGAAAAATATCTATAATGTTCTAAAAGGGGGTTTTCACAGTGATGCAAAGAACATTTCAGTGAACAGTCTTCAACTAACCATGTTTTTTTTTTAATGTGAAGAATATTTAAAAATTCTACAGAGCGTTTTTCATCTAGAAAGAATCGTTTGTGTAATGGAAAGGTTACATGGATGTTAGAATTTCCTCATAAAACCGCCGATGCCAATAAATAAACTTTATTTTTAAGAGTGCATGACTTGTATTGGCAGAAAAACTTTGTGAATGACAACTTTGTGAGTTCTGCTGAGCTTCACCGTTTCCACTCGAGCCTGCACTCTATTTGTTTTTATGCAAGTGGAGTGAGCTTTTTAATGAAATCAGATGCATGTGTTGAATTGTAGAAATGAATGTTTTTAATTTTTTTATTTCTCCGTCGCAGTTTTGAGAAACATCTTTCTGGTGTCATGTGTGCTGTTGGCGTGCTCAGCGCTCTTTCCTGTACTCTGGCACCTGTGGATATACGCTGGCAGTGCCAACTCTAATTTCTACTACGCCATCACGTTGCTCTTCAACTTTGGACAGGTAGAGGGTCCCATCTTGACAAGCCACATCACCTAAAAACAATATTGACATATTAATCAATAACTCTTTCAAGTCCAGTACACATTGTACAATTTTGCGATGTCCCAGACAAAAGATAGGATTGCCAAAAAATAAGAGTCTGTAGTAGGCATAAATCAGGGGGGACCAATCCCGTTCCTGGAAATCTTCCTACCTGAAGAGTTCAGGGGTCTCATTTATAAAACTGTGCGTAGGATCCTTACTAAAAGTGTACATGCACTTACCCCAAAAAATATTCAGATTTATAAAACCGTTCGTACACCAGAACCTGCGCAGTATTCACTTTAGAAATCCCAGTCAGCCGAAGATTGTGCGCACATGCGTCTCCTCCCCGAAAAAACCATATATGGAGCTTACAACGCCTAGTTTAAATATGCATATCTGCAAATTTGCATCTGATTATTCATCCACGTGATACCATGTAAAGGTACAAGACATTCAGAAAGTATGAAATACAGATGTGCCGTGTCACAATTGGGGATCGACCGATTATCGGCCTGGCCGATTATCGGTGCCGATATTAAGCATTTTTATGGTTATCGTATCGGCCATTTTCAAAACTGATTTGCCGATAAAATAATTTTCATATCATAGACACATGGAAACTCAAAGATCTTAAAGATCAAAGACATCTTTGGCTTGCTTAGTTTGGGATAGGGGTCGACCGATATGTGATGCAGGGCCGATGCAAATACCGATTATTACAGATCATATAGACCGATAACCAATAATTTGAACCGATATATATATATATATATATATATATATATATATTTAATTATATATATATATATAATATATGTTTATTTATATATATATATATATATATATATATATATTTATATATAATATATATAAAATATATATATATATATATCGGTTCAAAATATATCGATTTATATATAATATATATAAAACGTATATTATATATATATATCGGTTCAAAATATCGGTTATCCGTCTATTTGATCTGGAATAATCGGCATCGGCCTTGAAAATCACATATCGGTCGACCCCTAAGATTAAAAAAAAAAAAAAAAACATTTTTGTGGTCTATATCCTTGCCTTGTTTTTGAATGAATAAATCAAATAGTGTAAAATACATTTCAGAGTAAGATTTTCTCAATCTTTTCCACTGGCCAAATAGTATTTTTAATTAATTTATATTTTTCATGGAAACAGATAGACATGGTTGTGCATTATTTGCATGGAATTATTTTCTCATACAATCTGCTGTTATCATGATTAGCAATTATCTCTAGTTAAAACATTAAAACACAGCATGCCAGAGGGAAAGTGTTCAAAAGCATTGCATCCTCAACAAATATATATTTCTATTTATTAAATATAGTTTTTTTACTTCTCAGTAATGATTTCATGTAGTTTAAGTGTTTAACTCCATTAATGAGAATTGCATATTTAATCTAAATGTTTATATTAGAAGTAAAACATAGTTTAAATCATTCTTTCATTTATTTAAACACTTATTGAGAACATGCACTGTATTTGTTAGGACTGAAGATTTACAAGATTCATCTGCCGTTAGATTTTTTAGGCTATATGTGCGTCAGTTTCACTAAAAACAGCCCAATGCGCTTGCTGGCACGGACTTTTAAGAAGGGATGGATATTGGCTTCAAGTGATAGGCTTGGTGAGTGAAATTATATTTGTAGGCTATTATCTTCCTGTAGCCTATAGGCTATAATTTTCTTTAGATTTTCAGTCTAAAAGAGACCAAAAAGACATTTAACTCCAGCTCACCATCAGTGTCGCCAATTCCCTTTGTCTCCAGAATGTTCGTACGCATGGCTCAAGTTTGTTTTTTATAGATCACAACCTTTGCGTGGAAACTGGCGTATGTACGTTTCCAGCCTCGTTTTGTGCGTACGCACGCTTTATAAATAAAATGAGACCCCAGATCTGACACTGATCAAACACACACGTCTGTAATTATCAAGAGCTCGTGAAGATCTTAATGAGCTGCTTCAGTTGTGTTTGATCATGTTTGGAGCTGAGCTTTGCAGGAATGTAGATCTCCAGGAAGGTAACAAGTCAAGTCAAGTCAAGTCACATTTATTTATATAGCGCTTTTCACAATACAGATTGTATCAAAGCAGCTTCACAGTGATAACATGAAAGTAGCACAACACAGATCAACAACATTGCTAAACACTAAATAACAATAAAAGAAGTTTTCTTCTAGTTCTCAGCCTCCAGATAGAGTGAGTGAGTTTGTATGCAAATTAGACCATACAGAAGCCTGTCATACCAGAAATACACAACTCATGGCAGACCTACACAAAACCTGGTGTCAGGTTGCAAGAAAGATGTCAGAAAGAAGGGCCTATTGAAAGGCATAACAAAACAAAAAAAACGAGTAAAATAAAGGTTAACCACAAATATAGCAATCCACTCGAGGATTGAAAACTCTGGACACGATAGTGTTTACAGCTACTTAAATAACAAATTGTGAGTGGAAAAATCGCTGTAGCAACAAGGTTTCATAATTCATTAACTCGTATTAGTTTCAGCTGAGCAGTCCCGTATTAGGTTAACCAGGACTGCTGGCCTTACACACGATTCACGTGCACCTCACGTCTGCTTCATACTGTAGTGTGACAACAATTCAACCTAACCTCTGGGAATTTAAAGCTTGTGGTTTCCTCTATAAATGACCTTTTCAGCACGTATTTGTCACAGAAAGTGAAAGTTCATTTAGTGAGAACTGTGAAAATTGACTACATGAACCAATGTCAGGTGTTTTTATGCCACCACAGATCCTCCTGGTGTCAGATTATTTCTATGCCTACCTGCGTCGAGAACATCACCTGACGCACGGCCTCTACCTGAAGAAGGAAGATGGCACTGAAGCCACTCTTGTGTTAAAGTGACCTTCTTTCACGGGACTAAGACATCTCACCGTCTGCCTCACACTCCCATATCTTTACTTGTTTTTTTAACTTTCCATTCACACTACTGTTTTACTTTCACCTCAATTTCCCTCTCCTCTCCTTTCTTTTCTTTTTAAAAAAAAAAAAAAAAAAACCTGTTCCTTTCTTTTGCACATTTGAGAGTTTTACCTTACGTTTGGATGTTGATACCCCCTCTTGGACCAAAGCTGTTTTGTGAGAGACTTTTTTGACAATGGGACTGACTGAAGGTATGTGAATGATACTGGAACCTTTACTTTATGCGGTTCCCTTGAATGATGCAGTGAAAAAGAGGTGGGTAGACTGGTTATTTTCATTTTTGTTTTGCTTGTTGTCTGTCTTTGTGATTCAACTCCATTCAAACAGTGATGGTACAAACTTTGACTGCAGAGAGAGCTCACGTTTTAGCAGAACATGAAGTAGTAATGTTCAAATGTTCTTTGAATGCTTTTCTTTGGTTTGGTGCTTTTTTTGTATGACAGTTTTGTTTGTTTTACGTTATTACAGAATGAGGGATTAAACTGCACTGCAATTTTATTTATTTATTTTTAATTGGTGATGGTTTGAATTGTGTTCATTGTTCTGAGTAATGATTTCCTTGGGATTAGGAAGTAACCGTCTGGATTTTCTTAAATCTGTGCTTTTCATCTTACTCCAGGGCACGTGAATCGATCGATTGCACTCGATTGTGGTTAGACCTTCCTTGTAGTCCTTAAAGGGATACTCCTCCATTTTTTTCATATTAAACTATGTTATTCCCTTAACTAAGACGAGTTGATACATACCTCTCTCGTCTCGAGACACTTTGATCGCACTTAACTAGCCTAGTTTATTTAATATGTGCCAAGCAGAGAAGCGACCACACACCTCCACGTTTGTATGTATCAACATACAAGGTATGTTTCAACTCGTCTTAGTTAAGAGAATAAAATCGTTTAATATGAGAAAACAGTCGAGTATCCCTTTAAATGATCAAATTTTCCATTACCTGTATTGTTTCCAGACTTCTCTAATAATCCGCCCTTTGGCCTGGTAGGAGGGTGTAGACATCCGGGTGGCTTTCATTATGAGGTCACATGATCCAAAGTCATCTCTAATGTCATAAAGATATAGATACTAATGGTTTACAAACAAATGCTTACCATTTTATTTCCACATGCAAAGATCGTACCTTATTGACCTCATATGACATGATCACTGTATAACGCAAACGTATTTTCCTTTAACCACTAAATTGTCATCAGTATTTTATATCATACTGTATATTAAACTGTTACTAACAGGAAAATCATTTAATAACTTGTAATCATTTTTGTCTTGATTTTGAGTAAAAATAAGCTTCATTTTTCAATTGTGTTTACCTTTCTTAGCATATTGGCAAATACTTTTTTTCAATTTTGAGCTTCACTTTTTGGTTAACCTAAGAACTTTTTGTTAACTTAACTTTGTGTTATATATTTTATATCTTGTAATATATAGTGTTACTCGAAATCAAGACAGAAACACTGATTACGGTTTTTGTTTTGTATAATACAGCATTTTGACTGAAGCTTCTGACCTTAACCGATCAGTTTGAGCAGAGATAGTAACCTTACTTTTAAGCTGTTGTGGGGGTTATTTGTGTTCTTCTGGATGATTTTCCTTCCCTGTTTTACCTCGGATGAAAAAAGTTACGCATAAATATGCTATTGGTACCAAACTAGAAACAATTGAATGGACTGGGAACTGTGAAAATGTTGGCACGATTAAGGGCTTTTCTCCTGTTTGCGTCAGAAGTGGAACTGCAGGGAATCTTTTATGTTGTAAATGAAACTTTAAATTCTCAATTTTTCAGGATTCTCGTTTTGAATGCCTACCAGCGGTTCATAAATGTACACACTGAAGTATTACCCATTACATAACCTCCATTTCACATTACCTTGGTTCCCCATTCGGTCTGAAAGGAGTTTGGGCCGTTTAGGATGTCAAGACACTGATTTTAAATGCTTTGTAAATTATGTTGTGATTAAAATGCCAATAAAGATTATTTCTCAGTTGTGTTGTTTTGATAAAGTACGTGTTGATTCTTTATTTTAAGAGATTTTGTAATCTTTTCGTTAAGGTAAAAGTGCAATTTTGTCATGGGTTTTCATGAGAAACCAGAAGTGTAATCTGTCATGTCAGCTGGTATTGTTTGTCACAGTTCAAGCTCATTGCTGATATCATGAATTGAATGAATGAATGAATAGATTTCTCAATAATGTTAGAAGTTTTCTTCAAATTCTAGATGCAAATGCATTACTTTCAAACGCTGGCAAAGGTCAATGAGAGCTGTAAGTCTAGCTGACAAATGGTGGTGAAACAAGGATAGGTACGGTAAAAAAAAGAAATGCTGACTCATTGTCAAAATTAAATGTACAGACCTGTTTGTATGCATTTGCCATACATTACAATCAGTTTTACGTTCATTACTTTGTCCATCAATCATTCCAACTGAAAGTCAGAATGACTCTGCATAATAACTTTTGTTCTCCCTTGTTTTGATGTCCTTTGACCTACCAATGGATTTAATAATTACATAACAACCAGTTGTCATCATTTGTCTTAAGATGTTTAGATCATTTAATTGAAATATATTATATATCGTCAACTATAAAAGTATCAAATTAAGTTAATATTTAAATTATAGTGTTTTTGACATTGTAATAATTGTCATTCCCTGTCAATGGAATCAAAGTGTAGTACAACTTTACAATAAAGTTGTGTGTGTTAACAGCTAACACATTAGTTAAAGAGTTCACTTAAAAAAAAAAAAAAAAACTATTGCTGATAATTTACTCACCCCCATGTCATCCACTATATCCATGTCATTCTTTCTTCAGTCGAAAAGAAATGAAGGTTTTTGATGAAAACATTCCAGGATTTTTCTCCATATAATGGACTTCAATGGGAACCAAACAGTTCAAGGTCCAAAAGACAGTTTCAGTGCAAACTGCAAAGTGTTCATAGGGCTTTAAATGATTTCATATGATGAATAAGGGTCTTATAATGAGGCTCATGTTAAAGGAGTGATCTTAACATGAGCTATTACCATGAGCGAAACTTTTACAGCATTTATTAATCTTGGTTAATGTTAATTTCTACAATCATACATTTTTAACATTTGAAATTGAATAGTATGTTTATAATTAACTAAGCTGTATTTTTAATTCAGCTTATGCGAACAAATGTTAACAATGTGTGCAATTTACAGTGCAAACCAAACAATTCCTTTCATTCTCATGTGGTTCGTGCAGAATGACTGACTGGATAATGTTGCATAAGCATTTACATAATGTGAGCTACCATGACAACAGGACCTGTTGAATCAGATTTTCATGTCACCATTATTTCGCTCTTGAGCTGATGAAGCGATGTATTGTGATAACAGACTTGGTTCTCTTTGTGAGTGCCGTTGACTCTTGGATAGACTAAAGAGAAATGCTTTGGTGAGCCTTTTGAAAAGGGCCCCTCGTCCTGTCCAAGTGGAAACTTGTTGAGTCATGTGCTGATAGACATAATTTAAGAAAATGGGTACAGCATGAAAGGTATTAATGAAGGGCAGTCTATTCTTGCCATATTCATTCAGTAAATTGTTTGGTAGATATCCAAGAACAGAACGTTTTCTCAAACCTCAAGATTCGTATCCAAGCTTCAATCAATGTTGTAATGATGATTTTTTTTTTTTTTTTTTTTTTTTGCCATTACATTGCACAAACAGTATGTTCCATATTGACAATTTTTGGTTTTATTTTTATTATTGAGTAATTCTATAGTATTCCTTTAAATAGGCCCTACCATGAGTATGTGAATGCATATGATTTTGATCCAAAATATATATATACCACAGTGTAGTTTTCTATTTGTCCTTCAATTAAACACCAAAATCAATTTATGACCTCAGTTTCCAGGCAACATGGTCCCTGGTTTTTAAAATGAGTCATCATATTTCTAGAAACTGTTCTAGTCACACATTGAAGCTGTTCCTTGTACTAAGTATTAAAAAAAAGTATCCTTTCAAAACAAAAATGTTCATGGAAACCCAAACAAACCCCCGAGTAAAGACCTTAAATGAGGATTTAAGTAATTAGTTTCCAACAATGGAAACTTTCATTCCCCTTTGAGGAGGGAGGGGGTCAAAGAAAGTATCACAGAAGTTGAGTTATATTGCATAACCGTTACCATGTCACCCAGTCTAGTACAATTATTGTTTAGGCTGTAACTGAATTATGAATATTGATTTAAAGGTTTTCTCTACTTTTACAACAAGCAAATTGAACATGAAGTTCAAACCAAAAATAATATAAATCAAAACAAAAGGGTCGTAGAAAGTAACAGGCAGTAGGCTGAGTGTCACCTTAACAAGTTACCACCAAACTAAACAATTGAATCAGAATCAGAATTAGTTTTATTGCCAAGTAGCCTATTACGCGCACAATGAATTTGTCTTGGTGAGCTTCCAGTGTAGAAGAAAATTTAAACAATGCAATATAATACAATATAATTGTTTTAATGAATGTACAGATATGTATTTACAAGTGTATAGTTGATGTAATTTACAGATGCACATTTTTAGATATTATGTCATGTTGTTGTAACTAATATGGAGATTGATTTAAGGGGGAAAAGAGTCAGGGGTATTAAAATTGTGTTAATTAAAAAATAGGCGATACAGTTAAAAACAAAATATATGAGCAAAATACACAAAACCTTCAGGAGTTCTCATTGCTGTCATTCATAAGCAATCTGCAATTCTGTAATGAATACATGTTCAGAGATTTAATCTTGTGACTAAAGAATCTTCCAGAAATAATTAACATTGTTATTACAAAAGAAATGCTGAAATAATTGTTGAGGGAGCCAAAAAAGGTCATAATTTTCTTTAAGCGAGGAGGTAATGCAGCGACTCTGCTCTGTTCAAGCCGCTGCGTGTGCTGTGATTGGCTGATGTGGAGTGACCACAAGATTCAGGCCAATCAGGGATGAGATCATTTTCAGTGAGTGGAAAACTACAAGCTACAAGACACTCATACGTCACACCCCACTGCACCAATCACAAGCGTCCTATCTTACTAACTT